CCACCCACTGTTCCCTGTCTGGCATTTCTCATTTCCAGGATTAGGCTGTGTGTGGCCACGGGCTTCCCAGGACAGACCAGGGCCAGAGCCTGTGCCATTTGTTCTGCTTTAGAAAGAGGGCGCCATCTGAGACAGGGACAGAGAGACAGGTAGAGGGACATCTCCTTGCAGTGGCCTGTGGCAAACACACATCTGAAGGCTCGTAACCACCACCCACAGGGCCCCGAGGAGCCTCGCCAACAGGGGGCCTCTCGGGAGAGCACGTAGAATGGCGATGCCGCAGACTCTGAGACAGTGGTCCGTAAGGGAAACCACACTCCCCAGGCCCCTCACCCACCTAGGTCAGTGCTCACCTTTTATCTATTCTAACCTGACCGGATTCGGGTCACCGGACTTGATTGGCATGGCCTCAGGCCGGCACCGGGAGCAGAAGACTCTCCGTTGCTCTCGCTCCTTCCAGCAGCCTGGTCTGTCGGCTGCCTTCGTCTGTGGCTTTTCCCAGGTGAGCTCACACAGCCCTCCCTGCCTCGAGGGGCCTCAACCCAACAGTTCCCAAGGGTCCCGATGCTGGGGGACCTCCGTACCCAACAATTATTTTTTTATAAGAGCTTCCCGTGTGGCCTCTGAGTTCCCATGGCTACACACACCCCAGTCCTACCCCATCTCACCTTTGGCCAAATCGGAAGAGTCTGGGCACCTCCCTAGGATGTCACCAGCTGGGGGTCAGGCTCCTTGACCAGCAGCTGGTGGATGGGCAGCCCGGGGGTTCGTGCTCTGGAGCCGGTCTGTGAGCCACACCTGGCTAGCGCCACCTCCACCGCGAGCACCGGGAGGGGAATGTAGGAACCGTGTGACGATGGGGAAAGCCGCTCGGTGGGAAGGAGGAGCAACAATCCTTCATCCACGTCACACATTCCATCCGGTCACTTACAGGAATGGCCAGCTTCTCGCAGAAGCAGCCGGGTTATATCACTGCATTTGAAAGTCAGTGAGAACAGTGGTCCCTGGAGTGGATTGTCACTGTCATAGAAACTAGTGCGTTTCCCTGTGACCCGGTGTGTTTGTATTTGTGGAATTTCGACTGGAATTTTTTAATCGGGTCATTGGTCTCCGTCTCCCTTTCCCCCGTGCCTCTGTCTCGGGGTCCTTGTGTCCTGTGGGGCTCATAACCGGGGAAGTCGCTAGCAACCCAGTGTCCTACCTGGCGTCCAGGAATCGCGGCCCCCTGACTGTGACGAAACTAAACTGGGACACATCCTGATCATCAGATCAGGATCTGACAGATAAGGAACAGCAACAGTCTAGCAAGTCAGAAATGCAATACGTGAATGAAAGCATTCCCATGGAAAAACACGAGCTGCAGCTGGAGGAGGAGGGACAGGGGTGACGGAGATTCAGGAAATGGAGAGGCAGTGAAGTAGTGCCATTTGGCAAGCAGTCATGCCAGGGGCGATTTATGGGCTGAGAGGGGATGGTGTGCAATGCGATCTGACAGCTAAATACGCAGAGGCGAGCTCAGGCCTCACCCCACCCCTGCCCGGCTGGCATGGCCAGAGCGCCTTGCCCCACAGCCGTGCATCTGGGACTGGCCGCAGCCATTCAGTGAGCACCTACTGTGTGTCAGGCACTGAGCATGCAGTCATGTCATCCTCCAAACACTCTCGAGGAAGTTTGATGGCTCCGCAGGGAACCTGAGCCTCAGGTGGATCACGGGGCTAGGAAGTGGCAAGGTGAGACTTAACCCATGGCCACCAGTTTCAAAGTCTCTCTCTCTACTTTATAACTGGCCGCCACTCTGGGGAGTGAGGAGGCAAGGGACAGAGAGGGCCTCACGTCCAGGGCCTGCAGGAGCGCTCAGGGACCTCTGGCCATGGTCAGTGAAAGGTGCGTAAGGACGGGAGACAGGTGACCTGGGTTTCAGTCCCAGCCCTGCCTCTCGCGGCTTTAAGAATAGCCGTTCACCTCGCTGTGTGTGCCTTGGTTTCTTCAACGACAGAGTAGGGACATGCCATCCGTGCTGGGATGCTGTGGCGATTTGGTGAATGGCGGTGTTGGCTCTTGGTGAACCGCATGGCACGCTGACTACATGGCACTCATAGTCTTGTGCGCCGGCCTGTGCATTGCTGGTATGTGAGCTGTTTTGCTTCTACTCCCTCACCCAACCAGCCAATTCTACCTCCTGCGTTTGAACTTTCTGGGATATTGTACCTGCTTAGTAAGAGGATGGCTGGGCTCCCAGGAATGAGTGTTCAGTGGACCATGAAGGGCTCGGTGTGTCCGCCTGGCTCCGGTCTCCTCGGGTGTGTGTCATGCCTTTTGTCTCACAAGGAAGCACCTGCAGGAGAAGAAGATGTAGTTCTGGAGGGAAAAAGGGTTTCAGGGGAGGGTGGTCCTGGAACCCATCCCCTTAGAGGACATGAAGATTACGATGCCTGGGTAGGAGCCAGAGGGAGGCAGGACAGGGCTGTGCGGGTGGCGGAAGGCGCACCAGATGGTCAGAGTGGACCACCTCTGGGCTCCAAGGGCTTTGCGAGAAAAGCGAGATGATTAGATTAGATGCCGTGTTTCCCAGTAATTCTGACAGCAATTGGGTGTCCTGCAATTCAGTTCAATGCTGGTACTAACTGTCCCGAGTTAAGAGCAGCCCCCTCACGTGAAGGGCTCGGTCCCACAGCCTGTCCCCGCCTGTCCCCCTTCAGTTGGCAGCCAGAGTCCGGGGTCCCCAGCCTACACGTACTTGTATTTGATTGGCTACAATGTGAGGGTTCTCACAATCCCCTTCCGGTTTGATAAGTCACTGGAATGAAGCTCAGAACTCAGAAAGGTGCTGCACTTATGATTACAGTTTTGTTCTAAAGCAGGGGTGGGCAAACTTTTTGACTCGAGGGTCACAATGGGTTCTTAAACTGGACGGGAGGGCCGGAACAAAAGCATGGATGGAGTGTTTGTGTGAACTAATATAAATTCAAAGTAAACATCATTACATAAAAGGGTACGGTCTTTTTTTTTTTTTTTTTTTTTTAGTTTTATTCATTTCAAACGGGCCGGATCCGGCCTGCGGGCCGTAGTTTGCCCACGGCTGTTCTAAACGATACAACTCAGGACCAGCCCCGTGGAAGAGACGCCTCCTGGGGGGAGGGGTGCAGAGCATGCTAGGTCCTGTTGGGGGAACCCTCCCAGCACACCAATGAGTTTGTCAGTCAGAAGCTCCTGGGCCACGTGGTACCCAGGTTTCATACGGGGTGTCGCTGTGTTGGCAGGGGTGATGAACGCAGCTGACCTCCACCTGAGAGGTCAGAGGAAGGTCTAACCCTCTCCTCACAGGGCTGGTCCCTCCTGAAGCAACCAGTCCCTCCCCCAAGGTCATGCCATTAGCCCAAACTCAGGTGAGGGAGCAAGGGGCTGCCTATGAATAGCACAAAGATCCTGTCACTCAGGAACGTCCAAGGGTGTCAGAGCTCTGTGCCAGGGACCGGGGGCGAGGGCCAAATGTACTATTATCCTGCAGGAACACGTGATCATCCCCTCGGTCGCAAACATGCTATATTTAGTGATTCTAAAACTGATTATGGTTACGGCCGGTTTGGCTCAGGGGCTGGAGCGTCGGCCCACAGACTGAATGGTCCTGGGTTCTATTCTGGTCAAGGGCACGTACCTCGGTAGCAGGCTGGATCCCGGCCCTGGTCAGGGCTCCTGTGGAAGGCAACCAATCCATGTGCCTCTCTCTGTGTCTCTCCCCCTCCCTTCCACTCTCTCTAAAAATCAATGGAAAAATATCCCCGGGAGAGGATTAATTAAAAAAAAAACAAAAAAAAACCAACAACAAAAAAATCTGATTACGAGGTGCAGGGTACAGTTCAGCTCTGAGGGAGAGAACACCTGCATGACTAGAGCGGGTGTGGGCTGCCTCCAGGGACTGAGCTCCTGGGGTAGGAAGTGATCCGAGCGGATGGCCCGATGCTGAGAAGGCAGTCCCACGGCTGCTGGGCGGTGGTTGGGGCCAGGTGCTCACTGACCACGGTGTCGGGACCCGGGAAGTAACTGCCTTGTTGGTTTCAGAGTCGAGAGCTGCTTCCGTTCTGGATGAACAGCACCGGCAAGAGGGCAGGCTGGCAGCGCGGATGGCACGGATACGACAACGAGCTCATGGACATGAGGGGCATCTTCCTGGCCTTCGGACCCGGTAGGCGGGGAAACGGCAGGGTTCTCTCCGTCATCCGTTCCCAAGGCCGCGTCCCCGGGGGCTCGTGGCGGAGGGCAGGCTCGCCGATTGCTTTATGAGCAATGCTGAGCAAACCCAGCCGGTCTCCGTGAAACATCTCTCGCTGGCTCGCTTTCAAATGCTTCTTGGGTTTGGCAAATGTGGCCGAATAGTTTTCCTTGTAAATTTTAAACCTTGAGTGCAGCCCGGAAAATGTGTTCCACATGTTTGCGATTCATTTTTCACTTAATTCATCAGAATGTGATTTCACAGCCATCCGATGTCCGGGAACGCTTACCGGACGCCGGCGTGCTGACAGCTGCGAGTTTCAGCGCTGGCGTGGTTGCTCCCCGGCCTGGCTCGCCACACTTCTTCCTTGTTGAGGGCACCCAGCCCTGCGGGGGTCACTCGTTTAGGGCAAGCAGAAGCCGGCCTGCGCTCCAGAGCAGCCTCGGAAATGACCCGGAGGCTGACTTTGAGAGTCAGCCAGGATGACGAGGCGGGTCTTGGATGAAAGCAAATGTACTGTACCTTCCTCAACCAGATGAATTCTAAGGCGGGCAGAGAGCAGGGGTGAAGAGGGCCTATTTGGGCATTTGCTTTAATTATTTAGAGCACCGAAAATTCACATTTTGCAAAAGTTTATCAACACTCTGAGGATCATACTACTACCTGACACCCCCTTCTTTAAAAAAAAAAAATTAGGATAGCCTAGCCAGTTTGGCTCAGTGGATAGAGCGTCGGCCTGCAGTCTGAAGGGCCCCTGGTTCGATTCTGGTCAAGGGCATGTACCGTGGCTGCAAGCTCCTCCCCGGCCCAGGCCCTGCTGTGCAGGAGGCAACCAATCAATGT